TTGGGGAGGTAATAAGTAGGACCACATACTGCTTTGTATTAGGCAGCATCGATCTGGCTTTGCATTTTCTGTCTACCACAATGAGAGGTGAAAATGGCAGTCTCCACGTGTCTACTGGTCAGCTGTGGGCAGGGTGAAAGTCTCACACATACAACAAGTGTTGTCACCTGTATCAGCAGAACTGACTGTGGGCATAATGCCATTCACGCATGCATACATTATAAATGCATATTATATAAACATTTAAGCATATATAGAGAGACACACATCTTCAACACTTAGATTTCCAAAGAAAGTTTGAATTTTCCACATTAAAATTTTACAGGGGATGGGGCTGCTTTGTATCTATCTCCCAACTCGCCCTCCTCCAAATCGGATATCTTATTTCACCGGGCTAAAGCTTTAGAAATATTCTGGAAAACCAGAACACAAACTACCATGCAACTTCACTTTGATCACATTTCTTCTGGTAGCAGCTTTGCTGGGATTGTTAGCAAGCGAACTGTCAGCACACAGCAAAGAAATATCAGCGCATGCCTGTGCAATACGCCAGGCTCACAAAGCACAGGCCTAGCTCCTGCCCCTCTGCCTCAGACGAAGTTCACAGGGGAAAGGTAATAAGGGCTCTCTTCTTCCATCTGCCCTGAACGCAGCAGCGAGGCAGGATTCCAACCTAGCACTCAGGAGAGTGCCAAAAAAGGGGACTGGCTACTGTGCTGGCTGCCACCCCAGGGCCCCAGGGGTGTGAGGCCCGCCAGCTGTGGGGTGGAGCCGTGCCCCCAGCCAGCTCCAGCCTCGGCTTCTGTCTAGCCTGCTGGCTCAGCTCGCGCAGTGATCGTTTTGAGAAAAGCAATATTGTGCAGTTCATCACGCGGTGCAGGTGTTCACCTTCAGCTATCCCTGCCCTGTGCTGGCGGAGCAGCTTCTGCAACACACATGGCCTGCGCTCGCCTGTCTTCCCAGCGCCACGAAGTGCAGCACCTGGAAGATCCTCAGGTCAGCTTTATTCTGAAAAAGGAGATGTATAGGAAAGAAAAGCCCTCGCCTGAATACAGGGAAGTCAGATTTTTAACTGACCTCCCTCACGTGCAAAAGATGCGATACAATTCGGCAGAGTCGGTCCATCTGCCAAACCGAGACCAACCTCATAATCAGTCATAATCAGCAGAAAATTTCAGCCCAAACAAGCTGCTGCTTGTTCACATTGAGGTCACAGTCCCTGTTCAGGGGGGATAAAGCCAGTTGGTAGCAGGGTATGGTCCGTGACCTCTTGTGAATGTGGTGGGAACAGGGCCAGAAGTCATCAGCGCCAGGTATTTGCTACAGATGTGGGGATGAAGGTGTCCATCCCAGGGCAGAGCTCCGGGTGCTCCCACTGGCACCCTGGGCAGAGGCTGCCAGGGTGCTGGGAGTGATGAAGGCGCACTCAGATAATCAACCTGCCCCAGTGATGCAGGAGAGTGGAGAGAAGGGAATGAGTAAATTCCAGCCGCAGGGAATGACTGACTGCTAGAGGCAAGAATTTCTTCAGCTGTTCCCCAAGTCACTGTGGAACCCCGAGCGTCTGACCTGGGTAAATTTGGACTGGGTGGGACTGTCATAGTCTTGAAGACTCAATTCCACTACGATGCACTGCTGAGCTAGTGGATGAGATATATAAAGGTGGGGATTTCAACTGCCAACGTGCACTTCCTCTTCCTAGGAGAGGAAAGAGAAAGCCGTTTCATTCCCTGAAAAACCCATTCCCCAGGTCTGAACATAAAAGCCGTGATTTTTTTTTTTGTCTGGACACACATATTTAAGGAGGTTCTAATAAACAGACATTTCCTCTGACTTCTACTCAAAGGCACTCGCAATCACCACTTTTTTAAACTAAAGAATTTGATTGGTTTGCTACAGTGCAATAAGACTAAAGGCAGGAGAATCTACTGTTCAGTCCCTTTAAAACAGTTCATTAAAATGTATTAAAAGACTACAAATGGAGATACAGGCCACCAAACATCTCCTAACATCCTCTGTAGCAGAATCTCACTGCTGCCAAACAAATACTGATTATTCTCCAAACAACCCCACCCGCAAGAGGAAATCAGCGCACAGAAGAATTAAGGGACCTGTCTAGTACCACAAAGCACGACAGTGGCCGAGCTGACGATACAACCTTGGTATCGTATCACGACACCATTCCCAAACTGAACAATAAATTCAGCCTTTTTCCAGAGGTGTCATGTAACAAAGTTGTCCCGAATCCTAACGCAAGGTTCACAGACAAAACAAAGGTTTAGCCATTTCATGTTCTCTTTTCCCTGTTTTCGTGAGTTGCTAGTGACTTCGGACTTTACGTACGACGCATGTATTCATCCATCCAAAGTGGAGGAATGCCATTTACCCTTACAGGTGCAGCTATATTCAAACTCCTTTCACTTGGGGAGCGCTTGTTCTTCTCACACCTTTGCAGCAAAGCTGGGATTACACTGGGCTTTTATCTCACTTGAAGCAACAGATCCCACACACATAACCACATTTGTTTTCATGTAATTCTTTGACCTGGAAGTAATCATAATTTTCCTCTGCGAAAGAGTAAGCTATAGCTAGTTGTAGGCTTTTTTTTTTTACTGCTGGGCAACATCTTTTCTGCTTTTGTATGTCAAAATAAAATATGAAAAAAAATGTAAATGCTTTGCTGAGCTACAAACAATGAAAAAAGGTGTTCTGCCTGCCATCAAACCCCGCTGTTAAAATATTAACACAATGTAAATATTGTAATATTGAGGAAGTACACTGTGTCAGTACTTCCTGGCACCGTACAAGAGCTTCACTGTTCACTTCAGTCTCTGCTGTTAGTTTTAAACACACACAACTTAAACAAGGCATCTGAGCCTCTCCAGTCCCGGTGCGGAATTGCGAAGAGGCAAAAATCTTACTCTAGGTTCTCTCTAGGCTAAAATACAAAGTATTAAAAAGAATCCTTAAACCCAAACAATTATGTAGATGTCAGTACTTTTGAGGCAAAAATATTCCACAGGGTCTTTAAAAAGTCCTGGCATATTGCTGCCAAACATGGAAAGATCTTTGAGTATGCACTGTCCTCCCCTTCCTCAGAGAAGAAAAACAAGCTGCAAACACCCACCAATGCCAGAAGCCTGAAAGTCCAAGTTATTCCTCATGGCAAACGTCCCATTCCCCAGATTTGCCAGTTAAGCACGTTACGTGCAGTTGTCTCTCTACACTGACTGAATAAGCAGCATGTATGTAATAAAGAGAACGAAGCAGCTACCTGCCGTTAATAAGCCAGATGTTGCCAGCAGGTCTTAAGACATGATGTCTAGCTGCTGTAATTATGTATTTGTCATGGAAGTGTCACAGAAAAGTAACACAGCTTCAAAAAATAGCGAAGACCGAGAATGACCTCTCTATAGGTAACAAAAAAACATCTGGTCATACTTGCAGAAAGTCAGTAACTTCTTGTAGGGGAACCTGAGGGCAACTGGAGGAGTTCAGAGCAGGATTTCACTCTGCTGGGTCTGGTTAATACAAGGTAAAATCCCATCACTGACAAAGCCAAAGAACTCACCAGTTTCAATGGAAATAGCACAAGGCCTTGAAATCTGAATTTACCTCTATTTATGCTTACAGGCCTCATTGTGGCACACACTGTGGCACATCTGACAAAGACAATCCTTGTCCCACAGACCTAATGATCTAAATTCAAACCCGCAAGAAATACCAGGGAAAAAGAACTAAATATGTGAAATGTCTAATATTCTAGAAATGTCTAATCCCAGCAAAATCAGATGGCTAGGATTTCACAAAATGATTATGACAAAAGAAAGGCATGAACAGTGCTTCATGCTACCACAGGAAATAAAAGAAGTCTAAACTTTCACTGACTTTCTGAAATACACTGAATAAATGACTCATTCCAGATTCAAAGCATCTGCTGCTCCTGAAGCTTTCTCACCTTTCAGACATGTTCCCATACACAAATGGGAACTAAAATGACTCGTACAATGCCCCCACGTGCCAGTCAAAGTATTGGATAAGCTTTATTCTTCTGCATTGCCCTGGGGGTTAGCACAGATTTTCCACTTCATTTCAATTTAGTCACAGAACCTTATTCTAGAAGAACTCCTTCAATCATGTATCCAACTGTACCATCAGATTTGTACATAGTCAAGACTAACACAAATTCCCTCCCCAGTGTTTTTTCACATGTCAGTTTATCTTCTAAGAAAAAGCACCATGAACACAACACTTAGTCAGCGCCTTTATCTTTTATCTTACTTAAAAGGGGAGAAAAAACTCTTGAGAACCCAGTGAGCATTCGATACATGTAATGGGCATGAGAGCGCTACAAAGTCTACGAACAGGACATCATTCCAAAACTGAACTACTTACTGTGAGGGGGGTTGTTCATTTGTTTGTTTTTCAAAGATAAACAGCGGGTTTTTTGGTCTGTTTCATGAAATATTATAGCTAAGATCCTTCTCCACTTCCATAAATGGATGTTTTTCTTACTCTCTGTGGGTGGTCTCAGAGTTTTGACAGAGGAACATCACAAGCTAAAAACATAGGATGCTACAGAGATGGCCCACCTGCAGTGGTGGTGGATGTGGTGGGGGAGAGAAAAGGTGATTGCAAAGGCCAAAACAGACTGTGGTGGGAGAAATCAAAGGTCAGAAATGTATTCACAGCCCTAACAAAGGGGGAGCTCTGATGAAATGAGCAGCCAAAAAGCACAGATACAGGAAAACAAGGGATGCAGAAGAGAGGCAAAAATTTTAGCTTTCACTTACTAGATTTCTGGTTTTTTAAAGTCTGAATAAGAAACTCAGACATAATGCTTTGCATTCTTTTTAGTGAAGTTAAAGCATTTTGAAAACTGGTTTATTTTACATTTTTATTTTATGCTAGCCAATTTAATGAAACAAATCTTCTTTTAAAGCTCTGGTATGAACCATGTGTCAACCTGCTACTACCTTGTGTATTGCCTGGTTCCTTACCTGTTTTCTACCAGGAAGTCTACCACGTATTTCTTCAGACAGTAGAGATGGGCATCCATCAGCCCTGTTCTGATGTGCATCCTGGGGTGCCTGGAAAAGGAAAAAAAAGGAAAATCATGGCGCTTTGCTTTGCAATTACGTCAGTGGATAGTGAAAAGTGTGCAAAGGCAGATCCGTTCCTGTCCATCTCCTGCTGGATTGACAGAGGAGAACAGTGCAGGCTGCCATTATTATGTGCCTATAAACTTACACCTGCTGGCCCTGGGCTGATTTGCTGCAAAAGAAAACACCTCCTCCAAGGAGTCATTACTCGGGCTACATCTTCTTATGTAAGTGGAAATTGCACATTACTGGGCAGGACGCCAAAATAATGGGCCCAGAGTGCTAAAAGTTACAGTGGGTAATGTCAGGGTACAATAATTCAAAGCTTCTGGCGAAGTGCCTGCCTTAATATGCAAGGCTGTGCATGTTCTGCTAGCAAACACAACACTACTGTATTTTTTCCAACACTTCCTGGGGGGGAACAGGGGAAGGAGATGGGGTCTGCTCACCTTTCCTACACTACGGATTACTAATGACTGCCACAGCTCAATTACAAAGTGTTTGCCTATCCAGCCCAGCAAGATGGGAAAGATCAGTCAAATTCCCTCCCTTCAGCAGCCAAACAATGACAAACAGGGAAGTGTTTGCTTTCAGAGCAGTGGCAGGTTAGTGTTTCAGAAACTCAGAAACCTCCAATAGCTTCAGTATTTAAAGAACAAAGTTTTAAATCGGAAAGACTCATCAATGACTTGTATTACTTCTCTTTATGCATCCTCTGCCTCTAGTGGAAACCCTTTTTGGAACCTGTCTCAAAGCAGCCAGATATTTCGTGCCAACATTTCTTTCCCTTCCACATGCCTGTAGCCCCATTTAAGAGTGTTCTGGCTGTCGGGACACTCACCATTAGTTCTCAGGACAGAAAAACCACAAGCATAGTTAGCTGGCAAATTAAAAAAAAAAAGACAAAACACAACAACAGTCAGGGACTACACGGGGTTGTTTAAGAGATCTGTAACTACACTCACAGCCCTATCACGGAAAGAAATCTCAATCCACACCTGAAATTGTCTCTGCTTTTATTTTTCCTCCTTTGATGATGGGGTTTCACAATGAAGTTTGAATGAACATCTTTTATCAGTATATTCCATCCAACCTTTGTTAACTTAATCCAGAACACGCTAAGTCCAGTGTTTGCGATCATGACCACTTTTAAGCATTTAGTTAGCTCAGCAGAGAGATCGCTCACAACCTGGGCACATACATATGCCCAAATATATACAAAACCAATACCAGCACACCAAATACTTAATAACAAAGCTATCAGGTGTTCTAGAAAGCCATTTTTCAGTGTATTTTTCAATTTCTGCATTGAATGATCAAAGTATTTCAGCCTTAAAATTTTACAATTTAAGTGGTATTTCTCAAGCTAACTACAACAAAACTCTTCAGGTCTCACTTGCAAAGAAAAGCTCCTATAATCATAGTACGACACTTTGCAGTAAAGTATGTGGTACTAAAAAATGATATATGCACTTTTAGTAGATTACTTCATTAACAAAACATGAGCTCACCTAGCAATGCTCCAGTACTGATGTTATCAGCGGCCCAGATGTTGCTGTGGAAGTCAGCCCAAATAGCAATGTTCCTTATGCAAAGAGGATAGGGAATCCACTAATTTTAATGAGGTCTTGCATTTGGAAGTCAGCAGACTTCCCTCCTGCTCTGCATCCTGAGGATGGTTTCCACATTTTGTGTATTTATGAGAGGAAGAATTCTCCCATCTTCTCTGAGAAAAAGGGCTCCCTTATATTTATATAACGAATATTATAGTTCATTGAAATGAGCGAAAGAAACAAATGGAAAGAAATGGAGGGGAGGAAGGCTGGGAAAACCAACAAAACCCTGGAACAAGGCAAGAAACATAAAAAAAAAAAAAGGTGGATGCAACATGGGAAGGAGGTGGAAAAATAGGAGGAAAAAACCCCATTTTTAAGTTGAAGATGTCCAGCAGGACACGGTTTCTTTAGTGGCAGAATGCCAGGTTCTTCCCTCCCTGTTCAAGACCTATCACAACCCCCCTTAAACACAAGGCAGGGGAAGGCTGCAAGGGCTAGACACCAAGCAGAAGAGTGTAAAACAGGAACCCCTCAATAAAAGCTGGTTCTGTTGCCAGTGTCTGCGCTGCTTTCACACATCCAGTCTTCCCACCTGCAAACTGGAATAACCCTATTTAGCTACACCACAGGACATGGAGGATTTGTGGGCTGAAGTTCGTATCTGCATGCAAGCATTGTACCAAGTTTTTCTGTAGCTAAGCAACTTTATAACAAAGTTAGACAAAATCAGAGCAAGTGGACAGCGTAGCACAGTGCTGTCCGAGCTGCAGCTCCATCCCACACGCACAAGGACAGCCCACAAAAAGCAGCCAGACAACAAGATGTACTGAAACGCCATTCCCAGTTAGCTTTCAGCGTAGGATATACTAACAATAACGGAACATCATGCTGGACAAGAGGGAGGTCCCACAATGAAAATCCTCTGAAATACAGACCACCTAAGTGATTTGCAACAGAATAGTCCCATAGATTAATATTACAATCACAGCTTCAAAGGTCAAACAGGCAAGTTTGGGCACATGCATAAACAAAGCTGCGATTTCTGTAAACCAGACTCAAGGAGAGAATAGCCACACTAAACCAGACTGATAAGAGCACTCCATCATAACAAGCCACTGAAGATGATGCTAATTTTCACTGACGAGTGCTTAAACCAGTTTATCTTCAGGTAAAAGCAAAGGAGCCAAATAATCTAACAGATAACAGCAAACTCCATCACCATTTCAAATGAGCATCTGGTTACTAATATCGAAAGCCACACTCCCTTCCCATGCCTCTGATCTCCCACTCCATCAGCTAATCTTTACAACATATGAAAAATGAGCCCGTCGCAAGGAACAGCTGATACAGGGAGAATCGAATAACAAACAGTGCATGTGCCGGGAGCTGACGCACCTAGACCCACCGCTCTGAGCGAGATAATACGGAAGGCTTTTAATTACACCATCAAAGCAAGGGAGAAGGTACTAGGAGGGGCTGGCTGCAGATGGTTAAGTGTTAATGAATGCCGGGTTGGGTGGTTTATCAAAAGAAAAAGGCTGGATATATATCTGAGAGGGTCACTGTCGAGATGAAAGTTGTAACAGCCATTGTCGGAGCTCTTTAATGAGGGAGGAATGTCAAATGTGAACCCTCCAAGAATCATACCAATTACTAAATGAACTTCGGTTCAATCTAGCAAATGTAATCAAGCACAAGTCATTAAAATACATGGTAAAACTCCCATTGGCGCTGCCACTATAGCGTCTATTATTGTCTGTGCTCCCATGCAAGGGAGGGGGCTGCTCCCAGTTGTAAGCTCTGTGTGTTATGTTAAGTGATGGCAGATTTTAGCCCTAATGATGAGGCATGAAGGGCTCCCTGGCAGAAAGTCGACAATGAGGAGGCTAGGAGAGATCTGCGGAGAAGTCAGGGAAAGATCAGCAATTAAAAGGGCAATTTCAAAGAATGCAATTTAATGTGTAAAATTAGCTTTTATTAGCACATAATTCCACAAAATCCTGACTCGGGGGGAGAGTGCATAAAGGTCTGCAAGAGTCCTTAGAAAGGTCTGCGCCCGTAATTCCTGACACGCCATTGTGAAATAATAAGCAGTACTAACAGGATTGATGCATGCTTCGTACATGGCACTGCTTTGAAAGTGGAGCCTGGAGCTTTTTTCTCCCTGATAACCCCTCTCAGGATTTCCTCCCTCAGGGAAATCAACCACTGATAGAGCAAACTTCCCTTGTTTAAAGGCAAAAAGACGGACAATTGTTTCAACTGTAAACTAATTAAGAGAGATTACCACCAAGAGCTGGAGGTTCAAACCAGCCCTGCACTCCCACTGACAGTGTGATAATGCCAGGCTGGGGTCAAAATCATAAATCTGAAGGGAGCACACACAATGCTTAAAGCCAAAAAGCCTCTCTACTAAGCATGGGATATTGCCACATTAACCTCACCACCTCACAAATAAACTAGCTGAGAAAGAGAAATCCCATGGCCTCTTCCCCTTTAACTTCATACAGCTGTTGACAGAAAATATGAAGGTCTTTAAGCAAGCTCAAGGACCTGAGGCTGTCCGTACTCTAACACTAATCCGAGCAACGACACAATAAAAATCCAATCATACCTGCTATTAACCTGGCTCCTGAACTGATATCTGAGTGACATCCACTGTGGGCGTAATGGGGTATTAGTTCATTTCCCTCCCCAACCCTCCAGAACAAATAAATAAATAACAGCACGCTAAGTGCAAACTGCCTTCCACACTCATTTCTTTTCTAAGTAACCGCACGTAGCTTGCACTCCATGCAGACAGTCTACCATGTCATTCCTATCCCCTGCGCCACATCCCGTGTTCCTGCGTGAAGAAGCGTGTCATCCAGCTCCAGCACACGCTGCTGACCGCCGACTGTCTGCATGGAGGTGATGCCCTCGTCTTGCTATAACGCCAGTGTAGGGATCAACGCGGAGAGAAGACCCACAGCAAAAGCTGCCAGACCACCTTTAATGTCTCAAGCATTCCTACTTTTAAAGGGGAGGAAAAAAAAGCGCCCTAAATCGCATTGCTCATTTACGGGACAGCTCTTGGCTGTAAACTCCCCAATAATAAAAGACCACTGTTACGTTGGCACTTCAAAAATCCCAGACACCTTATGACCTTAATTTTTTACGTGGTGCTTTTGGCCAAAAAGATCCCAAAGCACTTAGCCAAGTGAATGTCCCCACTGTCTCCCTCCCAGGCCCCCCTTGCCCACCAGTGAAATGCTGCCACCTCCGGGCTGAACTGCAGCAGCTGTGGAGCGGCGCCGGCCTGGTCCCCAAGCCCCCCCAACATCCCCGGCTCCACACCCCTCTTCCGCAGGGCTTCGGGGGGGCAGAGTTTAACGAGGGGGTGCTGCTTCTCAGGTGGAAAAATTGGTTTAGATGTAAGACCTGAGTGATGAA